CAATTCCAGGCCAGAGACAGATAAAGATACAAAATTTAGATTCGACTAAGCTTCCAATTTACAAATATTTCTTATGACGAAATAACTATTCAGATTAATCGATCAAGATATGCGTAATTATTCCCTAACGTTGCAATTTAAAAAAATTAATAAACTGATCTCCAAATCTGTGATGGATGTAAAAGCTAGGGTTTTGTAAGAAAAGGGAAGGGGACATTACATTCTCGACGAAGAGGAAGTTAGCGACGACAACAGCTGCCGTTATTCCGCCAAGAATGGCGACCGGACCTGTCAGCAGACTCCATTTCCGGTAAATCATCTTCTCCCTCCTCTCCTCTTCCGGCTTTCTTCTTCAAAACTGCAGTAGAAATAAATCCGTCAACTTCGCTTCTTTTCTGGGAAAAAGAGGGACAGTAGGATTACGTGTAACGTGTTGCACGCCCTTTTTGACACTGGGCCAAGATGCGGCCCAATTATGAAAACTGGGTTCGGCAGTATAACTGTTAGATTTTGGCCCAACAAGAATTGAAAGACATTGAAATGAAAGTTTAATAAAAAATTTTAAAATCAAAGATTTGTTAGTCTGAATGAAAAGAATTCGGTTTCCCTTAAATAAAATCTTGATTTGGAGTTTTATAAATAGAGAAATAGGCGCTGAGAGAGTTTCTCCTATAATGAGGTCCGATGTGACTCAATTCTGAATTAGTTGGGGTCTAATGTAATTATTGAATATCGAAAAGTTAATATAAAAAAAATTTTAAATTCATGTCACATCACATGTGGACGGGATACCTTAAAAGATGAGAAGGAATCTTTTTTATTATGTAATTTAAAATAAAAAAAAAGGTTTTGTAAACTCAACCACTTTGTTTTTGAAATCTTTGTTCCAATATAAAATGATATCATTTTAAAATTTTAAATAAAGAATTTTAATATAAAAAATAATATTTCGAAACTCATCCATTATAAATAAAGTCTAAACTTAAAACAATGTCATTTTGTGTAAAACTTGTTTTGCTTGGTTCTTTTCAATTGTCCCTCTTTATGTCCCTTTTACAATTAATTTTTATTCTTTTACACGTAGAAAGCTATAAATAAAGGACAAATATTTTGTTTGAAAGAAGGTCTACGTACGCATATCTAAATTATTAGTAAAATATAACAAAAAGAAAGAAGGAAGAAACTATAGAAAATTGAGTGGGTGAACTAATGTTGTTTGAGAATTCGAGTCTACCTTTGGCTTTTGACCCATCATAAAAGCTGTGAGAAAGTTGTTCCCTAAGTAGAGGCACATGGCCCTCCGTCCGGTATGTCCTTGTTGTAGCAACATTAATGAAACTTTCTGATCGTCATAATATTTGTGACAGGTTAATATTGACAGTATAAGGACTCTGATTTGAGTTGTGCAAGTCAGCAATTAAGACTCTGAAAGAAGGAAACCAACCTACTGCATGAATCCAATAAAAGGGAAGTTTTTTGTATACATAAGAAAATATTTGTATGCTACATCAATTCAGCAAGAAAGAAACTTTCAAATTCAAAAAAAAAAAAAAAAAAAACAAAGGAAGAAGAAATTAATATGAACATTGATCAAGGAACCATTATGAATGAAATGAGAAAATGATCACATCAGTTATTAATTAAGTACTGGTTGGGAAGAAAAAGGAAATTATATAACAGAACAAAATTCATGTATTATAGTTTGAATTGTATATTAAAAATATGATTTATTTTATAAATTTATTAAAATATTATTAATTACATAATAAACAATTACATTAAAAGTGTTTTAATTAATTTATAAGATAAATTACACTTTTAATATATAATATACCATATAAAACACCTTTTTTTAATAGAATTATCAAATCAAAATCTTCCTAGTCTTAAGCATAATTATGTATAAAAAATTATTTTATAATTCATATTATATTATATTGTAAAACTATTACCCTTGAGTTGAGAAAAATTCTTTAATACTGAACTCTTATTCGATCTAAAAGTTTATGTTTTATAATACAATACAGTAAAATAAAAAAATCATTATCTATTTATATATAAATATTTAGCAAGAAATACAAACAAACAAACTATTTTCACTCGTCCGCTTCCACTCTAACCTCTTCAGGGAGTAGTGAGGTGGAATGGACCCCTTAGGACAGTGGTTGGTGTAAATTATAAGTTGTGATGGATCATTCAAAAACGACTGGGGACTGGCTATTGGGGCACCATATGATGCACTGTCGGTACAGGACCTAGTTTGGTTAATTAATTAACTGGTTATGTACTTTATATTAGATTTTCAAACATCTCATGTGGCGGCTTTGGTTCCAAAGAACTGGAAATGTTGATTAGACTCATCGGATTCCTGCATTTTTACTTTTGAGTCAGGGAAATGCACTTGTGGCTGGTAATTTTGTAGCTAATCTCGACGTTCTGAGTTTCACGGCTGAATGCAATTATTGTTTCTGCTTCCTCAGTGACGTCTCAAAGTTATCGTACTAAAATAATGTTTCCTTGCATTGATCCGAGTGCACTAAATTCTTTTGACAAATATTCTAAACTCTTAACAATATTAGAGTTCTAACTACTGTTTTAATTGTTGCCCCAATAGCTTTTTTATTTTCATTTTTCCCAATTGCCTTTGTTTAAAAAAAATAATGGTTTTTTTAATTTCTCTCTTT